CAGAACAATTTACTTACAAAATACAGCTGTAAAAATAAGTGTTCATCTAAAGTAACAAAGTTATCTCAGGGTTCAAGAAAACCAAATGTCATGTTTAAGAAAGCAACGTCATGTTCAAGAAAAGCAAATATATTCTTTAAGCACAGTGGTACTTCAGGTTCATTACAAACAGAATTAGGACTTAAGAAATATGAAACCAAGCGCTTTAATGCTAAAACAGACATAGCTTTAATGAGTTTAAAATTAATGTTTTGAGTTTAAAATCAAAGTAATGAGTTTAAGATCAGTAAAGGTTCTTTTAAAGTCTTACAAAACTTGATAGACCTCAAGAACTTCAAATAGAGTTTTTGTTTGAAAGCTTACAAATTTTAAACATAAAAAAACTTTGTTTATTATAAAATGAGTATATTCTTTAATATACTCATTTTATAATAAACAAAGTGAAGACAACACGTTTGAGATATTGGTTCAACAAAGTTTAAAATGACAGCTACTTATTTTTTCTTAAAGTTGGCCTGATTTTTCAGTCAGTCTATCATACACATACAAATTCACTGGTGAAAAAGAAAATAATGATGAAAGGGAGAAAAATAAAAAAACGAGAGGAGAACAAAAAGACTTTCTATACGTGAAAAAAAAAAAGTAAAACCCGATGCAGATGTAAAAATTGTATTCAGTTTTACGTTTATGCACAAGTTTAATTTATTTACATCAGCATACAACATACTACTTTTAGCATACAAGTTTATTTTAACTATAAGCTGTACCAAATTTTCTAGGAAATTTTTTCAAGTTAATCCTTTCCTGACCTGCGACCCGCCCTACGGTGCATAAAATCTGTTTCTAAATGATGAGTGAGCCACCTGGCGGTCCATCAATAATTCTAAATTTTTTTAAACATCTATAGGGATAATTTTTATAGTTGATACTTCAAACCGTTTGTTATTTGTATTTATAGATCGCTCAAAAATTAATTATAACTTACAACCTCACCATTCCTGATCAAACAGAACTATGTCTTGAGACCATTTCATGGTTATGCGCAACATTCTTCACTTCAATAACGATAATGATCCTAATAGAGATCGATTGCAAAAGGTCAGACCATTGCTTAAAAGGATCAGAAAGCGTTGTAATTAGTGTAAAGATGAAAAGAGCACGATTTAGAATAAATACATATGAGTTGACTACAGCTGATGGTATTACACTTGATTTCCTAGTATAGGGGAAAACGGGGCAACATGGCGAATGGGGCAAGATGGGTTTTCATATAACAACTCAACAAAAAATCTTAAATTGGGTAAAAACGAAACTGTATTTGTATCTTGTAATTTAAAACACCAATTGGTTTTTTGAAATATTATTAACGCCATTTTATACGCATAAGATTACTTTTTGCGCTTGAAAAAAAATTCCTACTTTTCGGTTTCTCATAATGGATGGTTCTCTTCAAGTTTGACTTCTTTAGAAGTAGTTTTTTTCAATTTTTGTTTATTATTTATTACTTTAGTTAGAGTTATTGGTAGTTTTCAAAATTTTATAAAATTAGAGGGAAAAAATTGCATTATAAGTCATCTTGCCCCGGTCACGTGACCAGATGACAAAATTATGAACTTTTTCTTTTAATATTTATTTCAAATTGTTATATTTTGAAACTGAAAACACATGCAGGAAATGAATCATTTTATTAACATAAACATACTGAGAATGTATTATTGCTTCATTACTGATAGTTTTGCAATAACTCAGGGCTTTCAAAACGTTCGCCATGTTGCCCCGCTTTCCCCTACTGTGGTATGGTATGTATGATGATGACAAAAATTATACAATGCCTTTAAGTCAACTTATAACAATAGAGCTGATGGGACAATCTCTAAATAAAGGTCATATATTATTTACTGATAATTACTATACAAGCACCACAAAAGATGTTGTGTTTATTATGAAAATGGTAAACTGACCGCCAAAGGACATCCATTGAAATCTGTTATTGTTTTTAATTTCTGTCCATCACAATCCGGGTTACATCCTGATAAATGTTTTCAAATTTATCATACTGTTTTGACTATTCCTAAAAGGATATTATGCATGTTTACTCATACATAAAATTTTTTCTCAAGCCAAATGTGCATATATTTTATTTTAAGGAAATTTCCAATATGTTGGTACCCTTACAAAAAGTTTAATATCTTTTGATTAAATTATCAAGTTTGTTTAAATTTTTTTTCTTTGATCATCACTATAAATGCCTATCTAATTTAATATTAAAAACTTTATTTTAAATTATATGAGAGTCTATTCTCTAACAAAAAAAAATACGGTCTCATTTGTTATATTCTGACAAGTAATTTTTATTTTATGCTCTTTCAATTGTTCATGATCCGAATTCGTCATTTTACACAAATCAATATTAAGCTATTTGATTTTTTCATTTTTCGATGTAAAACTATTCAGTTTTTACCTTTTAGAAAAATAACACGGGTAATACGTATACTAAGGCGATAAAACTGGTAATATCAGTCTAACATTTGGACTTAATACAGACTTTTCTTTATGTTGTAGTTAGCTAAAAAGTTACAAAATACAGTTAATTACTTTTTTTTATAACTTCATAAGCTAAAAATCTATAATACGTTTGCTCATTTCAGTTTAAAGCCAGTTATAATGCATAAAAAAGTGCGTGCATATATAGCATGCACATTTTTTTTTTATTTCGTTTTTATTACAATACAAATATGCTATAAATATTGTTGTACATTAAATATCAGAACACGGAGACTTAAAGAGGATCGTAAGATCCTGTATTTCTCACTGAGAACCGTTTAACAACCCAGTAAAAATACAACCAGTTAAATAATTACATTAAATGACGTTTAGAAATAAAATTAAAATCTAACCAGATATTTCAAAACTTAAAATAACGTTTAACTACATAAAGAATATATATAAAACTAAATATTTCAAAATAAAACAATATATTCAGGAATCGCACACTTTTTTAAAAGGTATAAACTCAAAAGAACTGCATAACTTTTGATTTTTTTATTTGAACATTGTCAATATATATTTGAGACATCATTTAATAAAAGTTTTTTGGGGATTTTGAATGAAATAAAGTCCATTTAGTTTTTTCCAAGTTAATTGATAGTTTATTTGACTTAAACTAATTTGAAATTTTAATTAGTTCTATCTTGATGTCATTAAATAGTGTAAAGATATTTTTACCGGATAGAAAAAGATTTGTATCATCAGCAAACATTACTGTCTTCAAATTTGAGGCATTGTGCAGATCATTATCATAAATGAGAAAGAGCAGTGGCCCTAGTATAGACCCTTTAGGAATACCATATGTTATATCTAGTAAACTTGTTGAGGAGGAGACGTCAGTTTGCACAAATTGCTTACGATTGCTTAGATTAAATTTAAGAAATTTCCGCTGATTCCATAGTTTTTAAGTTTTGTATAAGAATCTTATGATCTATCGTATCAAAGGCTTTTGATAGATCAATGAAAAATCTAAAAGTAAGTTGTGATCTCTCAAAAGAATCTGCAATATTTCTAGTTACATGAAGTATGGCGTATTCCGTGGAATTATTTTTTTAAATCCATACTGACTGGCATTTAATATTTTTTTTTAGAAAGATGTTTATATATTTTGTTGTAAAAAATCTTTTCAAAAACCTTTGAAAAACCAGAGAGTACAGATATTGGTCAATAATTAGTTATATTTGATAATTCAACACCTTTATATATTGGTGTAACTTTGGTGATCTTTAGTTGGTCAGGAAATATTTTATTGAGCAACTAAACACTTTAAAGAGTATAGTTTTTTATGATCTTGTAAGAGATCATAAAAAACTTTACTCTTTAAAGAAATATTTTTTTGCTAGATTAGGACCAACAGTTATAAAATAGTTATTTATCTGATTTGCTATATCTTTTGGATTATGAAATCATCATTGTTTCAATAACTTTTTTTTAATTTGCATGTTTTAATCATATGGTTGCCAGTGATTTCATTTAAAACTTGCAACGTGCGCTTTGTGTTATGTTTAAACTTCTCTAGTAGGTTTGAGTAGTACTTTTTTTTTTTTTTTTCTTTTTCTCTTTGACTTTCAAAATTTTTAACGTGATTTTTATAAATCGCCTTATTTTTATCACTTTTTGACTATAGATACTTAATATACAATTTTTGTTCAACTTTGGACAGTTTTCTAAGTTTTCTGGTAATCTATGGCGACTTAATGCTTTTTTTTTCTTTGACTTATTTGCATAAAGGAAAGTTAATGTCATAAACTTCAAAAAAAATTATAAAGAACGAGTTATAAACTAGATTTGCTTTGTAGTGTTTGCTTTGTATTGTTTGCTTTGTATGTTTCCAGTATAGTAAAGATAGCTTCTCATTTAACGACATTATGTTTGCTTGGGTAAAGCATTGTTAGAAGTAAACTTGATTTTGCTTCGGTACTAACTTAATATCAATATTTATCGAGTAAAAAAATCGGCAAATGATCTGAAGCATCGATTTTAATTTAACCCTTTTTGAGGGGCTCATTAAAAGTGTCCGTTGTCATAATGTTGTCTATTAAGAAAGCAGACATTGAAGTTACCCTTGTTGGTTTATTAATTAACGGATATGCATCGTTTTCAAATAAATCATTATAAAACCTAATAATTTTGCAATTTATATTTGAATGCGTTTAAATTTATGTCGGCAATTATGTAGTTTAATTTCTTTTCTATTGTATATGATATCAGTAATTAAATATGACTTAAAAGTATTTATTTCACCGATAACAGCAACTTATAAGTATTTGATTACTTAGAAATTCCTTTAGTTCATTGTTATATATTATTAGTTCATTGTTATGTCACATATATCTCATACATAACTGAAAAAAATAGTGATAAAAAACTGCTTTATCTTATTGATTCTGAGAAACACAAATTTCCTACAAAGTAACAAATATATATAATAAACAAATAAATAACAAACTTACTATCCCATGAATCTCCGTTATTGTCAGAGTAATAGCACGCATTAACATCGCTAAAAAATAATGAACATTATTTAACTGTCAAGAAGCAGTTTTTGCCAACACTTACAACGTATAATTCAAATTTTGAAAGAAATTAATTATTAAGATCATCTAATTTTTATGGGTTCTTGAAATTAATAATTTTATTGAATATTTATGTTTAACACTTTAACTCCTATCGTTAAAGACGAATTTCCTAAACTTATACACGATTGTTAATTATAATAAACTGCCAAAATTTAGACTTACAATCAACTGTCAAAATTTAGACTTAATAAGAAAAAAAACTTACATAAATAACTTAAATTTACACTAAAATGTTTTTTTTTTTTTTATTTATGAAAAAAGCATCTTATATTTTATCTAAGAATCATATATAATTTTTCCGGGATAATTTGTTAATAATTTGCCAGCTCCTGATTTATCAATTTTTAAACCAAATACTATTCAAATTCTATAACAAATATTTAACATAAATTAAATGAATTATTTAGCAGTAGTGGTGTAGTGATTAGAGTTGTGACTCAAAACTAGAGTTTCGTCGTTCTAATCATATTTAGATCAATGGTTGTGAAAGAAGCGTAAAATTCCTGAATAAAGGCTTTTCTTCGGTGTAGACCTTTACATTACCTTTTAGACCTTTACATTTTCTTAGAGCAGCTAAAACAAATAACTATATATATATATATATATATATATATATATATATATATATATATATATATATATATATATATATATATATATATATATATATATATATATATATATATATATATATATATATATATATATATATATATATATATATATATATATATATATATATATATATATATATAAAGCATTTTAACAAAAAAATTTAACAGGAAGTTGAGCCTCCTTTCTTTCCAATAATTTATATTGAGCCAGGTCCGGCTTTGAATCACGGACATTCAGTTTTGATGATAAAATACTATCCACTATACTACGGCAAAACTCTCAAGTTTCTCTAAGATGAAATTCCTCATCCTTGTACACCAGTTATAAGACCACTTTTATTACCTTTATCAAATGGATTTTTTATTTTTTCAGTGATAGAGGATATGAAGACAAGGAATATCTATCAAAATCCTAATGCCCTAAAAGAAAAATTGAATAAGATATGGGCCTTAATATGACAAGATCAAGTTGTGATAAACTTGTGAGCCAGTACCTGAACGTCTGAAGTCTGCCATTTTATCAAAAAAGTTGCTATTTTGACAAAAATTGTTTTTTTTCCCTCTGTGTTTAGTTTATTTGTGGCTGGATAGCTCAGTTGGTTAGAGCGCCAAACAAAAAGTTTAAACCCGGACTGTTGTACGATACGGCTTCAAATCCTGCCACCGCCAACTCAGCGCTTGAGTAGTGTTTTTCTACGCAAAAATGTTGGTCAACAACGGACGCTACTTCGGATTAGTCTTAATGACTACTTGTGGCTGTTCCTATGCTAAGCCAACAATATCTTCTGATATAACATTGTATAGAAATAAATAGCATAAAAATTTTAATAAGTAGATAAAATAAATATTTAAAAGTTAACAATTTTTTACATAACCTCGATAATCTAATTTATCATAATTTGTCTTTTTCAATTCGTCTTGACCTTTTGCGAATTCCTGTAAAAAGATTTTTTCCAAAAACATTGATTTTCTAAAACTTTCTTTGCTTTCCAAGGTTTTGTATCAACTTTATATAAAATATGTATAAAAAATTTTAAAGTAACAAATAAGTAACAAATCCTTCATTGAAGATTTTTAGATCGCTCATCACTTTAGTGTCGTATATAAAGTTAGACAACATAATTAGTCACTAAAATCTAATATTATAAAACATTTTGGTATTCCATAATTTATTTATTGGATCTGAATGCACATATTGTTGAAGTGTTGATGCTGGACAACCATCTATCCCCAACTATTACTAGAATAATTTCATCTTTTTTTTATCATTAAAATATTTAAAACTTCTTGTTTCTGTAGTTTCACAAGTCGCTTCCATGTATAGTCTATGATATGCTGTAGTTTAGATTTTTGTCTAAGTAACTTAGATGTTTTTAAATCTAAGCACTTGCTTTTTATTTCAGAAGTTGTTTGATAAGATAGAAATATGCATGATTGTTCTTTATAAGTATTTTAAATATTTATTGTAGGTTTTGCAAAACATTCTCCTGACTTCTCTTTTGCAACAACATTTTCTCTTGCAACGTTGTTAGCTGAGTGTAAAACAATAATGATTCGGCTAGTATCTTTGTAACGAGACTAAGTAATTTGACAAAATTTAAGTTGCTTTTATTAAATGCTGCACAAAACGAAAAAAAAACTATATTTTTTTAACGGATTTCTTTTTGAATCAAACTACATTTTAGCTATCAGTCGTTTTTTGATGCGAGATTTGGTTTCATCAATTTTTTTTTTGTTGGTCAATTTTTTATTTATTAATTTTTTAAATCTTCTTGGTTTGCTGGGTTATTTAAGATATAATTTAAGACATCTATTTTTAACATTGATTTACGCTGAACCTGATTTCTACATCAGATATAACTTTTTTTCAATATGATACATGCTATAGTGACACATACTTAACAAGAATTAGTTTTAATTTCTTTCTTAAAAAAATTTTTTGTCTTCTCCGTATTGAATCCTGGGGCAGATTCAGACTAATAAATTAGGGATTAGGGGCAATTTTTTCTGGTGTTATTGGCGTAGTTTTTGATTTTTCTCGATGTTTTTGCAAAAAAGCGGGTTTCTTATAAAAAACATGCTAAATTCACAATTGCTTTTACTTTACGAAACACGAAGGGTCGAGATACATGACGCTTTACAGACGTTCGGCGTTGAGCTTCCACAAATAACTGATGCACTAGAAAATATCTAAATAGAATGATAAAACATTTCCATCAAAAGGAGAATTTATTATTATCAATTAAAGAAAGTGATTTTATTGTGTCTTTTGGCTACGCTGTACATGTGTTCTCTCTAACAAATGGGCACAGCCAGTTGTTTAAGAAGAAAGTTTAGATTCACATAAAATAAAATATTACAGTAAAGATCTGTAAATTGTTTTAAATCAAAAGAAAAAAATGCGATGAATTAAAGAACTTTTTAAAGCAGCAGAGAAAACGATAATTAAAAAAATATGATTTTACCAACAAAAGAATAGTGCAGCAACAGACATGCCGACAAAATAAACCTTCAACAACAACGAAATAATGTTACTATTCTTTCGCTGTTGCCAGTAAACCCTGTAAATCGCCTGCAATTACAGGCGAATAATTTATATCTCCCTATTTGATACACTGATATTGGAATTAAATACATGTTTTCAAATCTGTTCTTTGATGAAGAAAAATATTATTAAACTGAATAAAAAGATGTTTAAAATTATTTCTGCAATCAGTAATGTCTGTGGCCTAATTCTTGGACTTAAAACTTACCTGAACCTAAATGTACATTAAACATGCTAATAAGTTATACTAAGACAGTTCAAATAAAGAAGAATGAGGGAGAAATCACATCACTGCCATCATCTACTAATATTTCTATTATTTTTAATTTTTTTGATCAGGTGCAATACCCAATCACTCAAACCATGTAAGAGGGGCAATCGCTCCTATTGCTCCCCCCTCCCTATGGATCCGCTTTTGCTTGAATTCTAATCAAAACTTATTTATATGTTGTTTAAAGTTGCTTTGCTGAAAGTTTGTTTGTTGTTAAGTTATTTTGTCTTATTGTTTGTTTGAAAGTTGAAAATTGTTTATTGTTGATAAGCTGAAAGTTGCTGTAAATTTTCTAGTTGAAAGTTTTTTGAAAGTTTTTTTTGTTATATTGTTGTTAAAAGTTGTTTGTTGAAAATTGTTTTGTTGTTGATAATTTGAAAGTCGTTTGAAAGTTATATTGGAAGTTGTTGCTGTGTTGCTTCGACCTATTTCTCAAAGTTTGAAAACTTGAAATATTTTGAAATTCATTTTTTTTTGTTTTTAAAATTTGTAAAAGTGAAAGTTGCTTTTAAAGTTGTAGCCGCATTTGAAAGGTGATTTGAAATTTCGATTTGAATGTATGTCGTTATTGTTTTTAATTGTGCATAGATGGATTTTTCGATGAAAAACATTGAGAAACAAATAATATCTAAGTTAGAATATTAAAAGCATTTTAAAAGAAACTGAAAAACTTTTTAAAAAATTAGAAGAAACTTTTACAAGAATAATGAGTTTCAACATAGAAATAATATCAGACAGACTAGATAAACATGAAAAAGAACTTAATTTTAATCAGTGCCTCCGAGAGCTATCACGCCGCCTGGGACAGCAATCTTGATTAGCGCACTTATTTATTAAATTTTCTCTATACTTTATATGAAGGACCTTGTTATTCTTTTTTTAGGTACCTGTATTTCATTTGGCGCCCTTAATCTATATCTACAGCCCGAGTCAAACTGTCCCGGTGCCCCCATGAGCGAGCCCATTAAAAAGGAAGAAGAGGTAAAGACAACCAAGAACTAAAGTCCTTAATTTATTATGAACTGAAGTCCTCAAACTCCTAATTTATTATGAACTAAAGTCTTTAAACTCCTAATTTATTATGAACTAAAGTCCTTAAACTCCTTAATTTATTATGAACTAAAGTCCTTAAACTCCTAATTTATTATGAACTAAAGTCCTTAATTTCCTAATTTATTATGAACTAAAGTCCTTAAACTCCTAATTTATTATGAACTAAAGTCCTTAAACTCCTAATTTATTATGAACTAAAGTCCTTAAACTCCTAATTTATTATGGTAAATCCAAAATTTTAACATCTGTGAAAAAACTTAAAGGCATTGGAATTTTTATCAACAAAGGTTATGCGAAAGAAACCCTGGAACATTGAAAAAGGCATTGTAAAGAGGGTAATTTTGCAGTAATCAAACTTGATAAAATTTTACTAAAAATTTGCATAAATAAAATAACCTAATTGCAGAAATAAAAGGAAATTTTATTACTCTCACCCGAATGGCTGAAGTTAGCGATTATAAATACCAACCTTTTAATTTTTCTAAAATGAAAACTTTTAGAGATATTAATGTAGAAAAAGACCCTAATTATTGTCATGATTTAAATAATGATTGCTTTTATTAATATCCGAGTGAAATAGAAACTTTTTAATTCCAATGACGACGAACAAATTAAAATCCTACATGTAAATATTAAAAGCATAACTCACAACTTTAAAAAACGCCTTTACTTATTAAAAGAAACTAAAAATGTTTTTTATAAATGGTATTAATATTTTATCTACTCTCATTATATTGTAAAAACAAACTAATAAATGTAAACTGAAATATAAAAAAAAAATCCAGTGTCTTCTATATCAAAAGTAAACTTTGAAATCTGCATCTACAACTTGTTTTAAACCAATTTTCTTCGTTTTCTTTGTTCACAACAATATAATTACAATGTAAATTGAAAAAGTTAAACAAAATTAAGAAATTCTTACGGTTTTTTGTTAACTATTGAGACATCAAAAACGCACTTCAGAACAGTTATTTGTTAAATTAACTATGACTTTGAAAATCTTAACAAATTAAAATTAAAATACTTTTAAACTTTTTTTTCTTTTAAAACCAACAATTTCATTTTTTGAATATTTTTTTATTTTTCTTAAAAGACTACCAATTTTTAAAAAATATATTGCGCTAAAGATGCCGGATAATCAGCTACACTCCTCAGGGTAATAAGTAGAACTATTGAACAATACCAAAGTATGAAAAAAACAAAAATTTGAAAAAAAAATTAATTTTTTATCAAAGCTAAAACTTAGTACTTTTGCATTGAAATTTTTACTTTCAATGCATATAGTTCCTAAAAAGGTTGATGCTGGAATAAAAACTGCTGTAAAACTTCAAAAAGCATCTACCTAGTTTGTCTCATTTAAAGTTTCATAAATTGCAAAATTATTAGAAAAGGTTTTGGTAAAAAGATCCACTAAGACAACTCAGACATAATGTTTGTTGTAAGTGACTTTAATAATTTTTGGCTATGTAATTTCCACTGTTTAGTATTTTTTTAAATAAGTTGAAGACGTACTTGAAAACTACTTTTAGACGTTTTTAAGACTTTCGGTGAATAATACATAATAGTTGTTGCATCAATTGCATTGAGACAAATAATTATTTCGAAGAATAAATACATTTTTATAAATTTTAGACAGATTTCATTATTTCATAAAAAGAAGGAGCTTTATCCAGAATTTAGAATTTTCGTGGTAAAAAAATTAACTTGATCTAATATATGTTATAATGGATAAAACGTATAATATACCTATTAATGACAATAACTGAAGGAAAAATACAAATAAGAAATGTTAAATTAAAAATCTAATTTCAACAAGTTCAATCGAAACTGTAAGATAAATACAAAATCCTTTTTTTTTTTTGACAGAATATAAACATAACAACATACCTAGGGACATGTTGGTTCATGCACACATAAATATGAGAGTTATCAGCATCCCAATAAATTCCACGCCCATAGCTTTCTAAAAAATTAAAACAAAAGGCTCATTATTTTCCTACAGAAAACTGGTTTTGGATTTCTTACAAATACCTTAATATGCAAATTGGGTAACTCCAAAATATTTAACTCACAGAGTAGACAAAAAGAAAAGATTCCCTATGTAAAATATTTTTTAATGCAATGCATGCTTTATTAAGAAATGCACAATTTGCATTGGGTATACAATTTTGCTCTCTAAAGGAGGGGTTTCAGTTGCTTGGAAAATATCTTGCATCATTTCATATAGTTTCAATAAACTAGATTTGGCCCAGGAAATTTGATTTTTAAATGCTAATAAAACCAGATATGCTTTCAGAAAGCTCTTAAATTATTAACGGGAATAACGACCAGCGAAATCGACTTTTCAAAACTCGAATTTAAATGAAAGCCGATTTTAGATCAAATGCGTATACTAAATATAACTAAAAGACGAAATTAAGCAGTATCTGTAGCCCAAATTTAAGTGAAAGACGAATTTGGACTTCTAAACCGAATTTAACTGAAAATCGAATTTGGATTTTAAAAACACATGTATTTAAAAACGATATTTTTTAAGAACTTTTATAAATTTTATAAAAATTTTTTTTTTTTTTTTTTTGCCTTAAATGCGCTAAGAAAACGTAACAGTTTTGCCATAAAGTACATCAGAAAAGTATTAAACTAGGAAGTTCAAACCTCCTTCTTTATCTATAGCGCGAAATATGTCCAGAGCTTGCTTCGAACCCTAAGTCTCTTGCTTTTACAGCAAGCGCTCTAACCACTGCACCGCGATTGCTTTGTAATCATTTTTATAAACTAAAATTATTATATTTTAGCTTGTAATTAACCATAATTAAAAACATGAAATAGAACAAGTGAAGCCAAGTAAATTTTAATTTTAACGAATATTTGTCGGTCCTTAGAAGGGTTTTTATATTTGATAAACATTTTAATAGCGGTATAACATTTATACCACAACGGAAAAAGGAGAGACTAGGTTTTGCTTTCAAATCTAAAAGAACTAAAAGAAAGCATTTAGCTTTCTATTAATTGTTGCTATATTTGCAGAATTTATATTAAAAATTGAATGTGACTTTATCAACATTTAAATTGCTTTTAAATAAGAAATCTTTTTTAAGAAAAAAAATTATTTAAAATTTTTTCACTTAAAAAAAAAAATAATAATCCATGCTCTCTTTTTTTTTTATTTATTTTTAATTTAATAATTGTATTCTGAAAAAAAACTCTGAAAAGAACTCAAAAATATTGCTTAAACAATTGATAAAAAAAAAATTTAATTTACTAGTATGTTTTAAATTAAAAAAATGATTTTTTTTAATCTTAATTTTCTTTTAAATGAGTATTTCTATTCAGACTCGTTTTTTTTTTTTTTTTAAAAAAAAAAAGCATACAAATTTGGAAAGAAAATAGGAGCAGTGCGATTTTACATTTTAAAATTCCTGTTTTATTAGAAATACTTAATCATTTAATTCACGGTTTTCGAAACTGAGTTTTTGTTGCGCAAAATATATACACAAGGATATACAGATCAAAATACTTCGAGTAAACAAACTGATTGTCGCTGTAAAACACATGAAAAACATCTAATTAAAATGAGTAATAATAACGATTTTAGTTCTTCAAGCACAATCTATTGACGACTTTAAACTATTTAGTGTAATAGGATTAAAGTCTTTTCCACCAGTAAGTAAAAAATCTACATTTGGATCTTAAATTAACGCTTTATTAAATACATATCGATTAGTAAGGAGTAAGGTTTGAACTACCTGGTTAATTGTTGTTCCTAAGTGCTCTGTGATTAGAGCGTTAGAACTACTGCACTGTAAATCCAAAAGGTTCTTCGCGGTTGTTTGCCGGTTCTTTGAAGAACCTAAAGGTTTTTGGAAAAAATTTAAGGTTCTTTAAAGAACCTACGAGTTCTTAATATTCTCTAAAGGTTCTCTAAAGAACCGGCGGCTTATTTACAAAGCAATAGAAAGAACCCAAAAAGGTTCTTCAAATCATTTTACGGAAAACTTCGAAGAACCTTAATTTAGGGTTCTTTAAATCTTTTGTAAACGCCATTTTATTTTTATAATCGGTCGTTATATAGGTAGACTAGTATGAATTTATAAAGAATGGTATAATAACAATAACAAATGATTATCATGACAGTATTTAATTTGTTCCTTTAACATTTGAGTTGTTTTTGTTACCGTTGTTAGCATCAACAGCGATTAAAAAAGCAACGTGTTTTTTTTTTTCGAGCAGTTTTCTTATTCCTATATGCTTTTATTATGCATATTATAAATAGATATATCATTGTATATTGCGTATAGTTTGGTTTAGATAAATAAATATATCATTTGTTTAAATTTTAAAAAATGGCAGATTATTTGAACTGGAGTGTAGAAGATGTTTGTGTATACTTAGAACTTAAAGGAATCCCAGAACTTAGACAAAAAGTAATTTGTTAGATTAAAGTTTCTATTTATTTTTAATTATACAAGTGCTCGGACGCGACATTTAATTAAAGCACAGTAAAAGGGAAACTGGAATAATAATCTTAAGAGAGTCAGTTACAATTAATAATTTTTAATGATTATTATTATTTGTTTAATAAAAATATTATTTAAAATAGTATAAATAGCAAATTAAAATTTTTTTATAAATAGTAAGTAATATATAAACAATTATTGAAGGAATGCATTTTTTTTTTGTTTAATTTTGTTACATTACCATGCTATTGTGAGTCTGTAAATAATATTTCCAAAATAATTTGTATTCTGTTAGGGAAGGTAGGGGAGCATTGCGCAGTCGGGAGGTTTGGGCACCCCTTCATTTCTCACAATCTGTTCTATATATTTTTTGTTTTCTACCATAGCATTATAGTTTTATAACTTGCAACACCGCTCATCAACAGTGTCAGCTGTTATTTCACTTGGTTGTCGAGTTACATGCGCTAAATAGTTTGATGCGTACAAAATTGAACAATTTGTTTGTGATTTGAAGAAAGATAACAAAGAAATCTTCAAGAAAGTGTAAGTATCTGTGTTAACTTCTTCCTTTGTGTTTAATGAACATTATATTTACCTGACAATTAGGATTCAACAATTGATAAAAATAAACTTATTCAAATCTGTTTAAAAAGTGAGGTTATGGGGAGCTTTGGGCACACAGGTAGGAGGGAGATTTGGGCATCCCCAATGCTCCCTCTTTTTTTAGTGTGTTTTTTTGTCATACGTTTGTGCTTTTTTGCTACGACTATTAGATTGAATGGTTAATTGTTTCTTTTCAGGACAATGCCGTTTTCATTTAAAAAGAAAAATAAACGATGTGAAATCCCTAAAGATAATATTTTGCGCGCATTGGAAGAGGTTTCTAAAGGAGGGAAAATTAAAACTACTACGATTAAATATGCTATCCCTAGGTCTAACCTTCAAAAATACATAAAACAAGATGGCATTGTGAAAGATATTTCTTCTAAATATATATCATTCCAAATATTCACAAACGATAAAGAAGAAAAAATTTCAGAATATTTTGTAACATTGTTTAAACTAAACCATGGAATGTCAAAACTGAATGCACGCGAATTAGTTAACGAATACGCCACTGCCATTAATATTAAAATACCAGACAACTGGACAGAAAAAAAACTTGCATCCAAAGATTGGCTAGAGGGATTTTTTAAAAGACAACCTCAGCTTTCAATAAGGACCCCAGAAGCTACTAGTCTCTCACGTGCCACAAGTTTTAATTAAAAAAATATCGGAGATTTTTTTGAAAATTTTAAAACTGTATATGAACAACATTGTTCCGACCATGAGTCTATTTACAATATAGACGAAACTTGATTATTAACAGTACAACGTACCCAGAAGGTGATCGCTCTCAGAGGCACTAAGTAAGTTTGGCAAGTAACGTCAGCTAAAAAGAAGGAAGAATCAGGCATTCGACTTTCTCACCATACTGTAGCCATAAACTGAAACCCCTAGACCTGACTGTCTATAGACTACTCAAAACTTATTATAACACTGCTGCAACAGATTGGATGGTGAGCAATCCTGGAAAAACGGTCACAACTTATGAAATCCCAAAATTAGCAGCAAAGACCATCCCACTTGCATTCAAGTTTTAAAATATTTAAACGGGATTTGAAAAACCTGGCATTTAGCCATTTAATTCAAACATTTTCTCTGATAAATATTTCGTTTGTTCTTCTATAACTGATTGCTACTTGCCGGAAGAGAATTATGTTGTTACAGAAAAATCGATTTCAGACCAACCTAACATGGAACAACCTTCAACAGAAGAAAATCTGAGACTAGAAGATCGTACAAGTTCAAATTTGGAAGTCACTGGGCTATCTCAACTTAAATCTCTATCTAAAAGCCAGACTAGTGGCATTGTCAATGTAACACTGTAAAGACCATATCCAAAAGCCGGCCCCAAGATATTGGCTGGCATAAAACGCAAGAAAGAAAAAACTAGAATATTGACAGACACACCCGAGAAAAGACTTATAGAAATTGAAGAAGAAAAAATACAAAGAAAACATAAGATCAAAGAGCTCAACAAAAATTGAAAATGCTCTAAAAACGAGAAAAACAAGAAGATTAGTTGTGATGATAAAATAGAAAATGTTTCCGTTATTGACGAAGCCTTTGTTGAAATCAGTTCATCGGAAGAAGATTTTGATGTAGACGATCTGATTTTACGGATAGAAATGTCCAGGTCAATAACTTTGTGTTGGTTAAATTTGACACCAAAAAAAACTGTTTATCATTATGTTAGAATGGTCGAAGAGGTTAATTACTCCATGGCAACTCTTAAATTCATGAGAGCAAGAAAGATAAGAAATACGGTTATGTTTCCTGACATCGAGGAGATAGCCAGTGTCTCCTTGGAAGATATAAAGACAAATTTACCTACACCAACAACATAGATGAAACGTGGCAGCTTAAAATATAAATTTGACAAGCCTCTCTGGGTAATAC